CTATTATATTATCTATACCTCTGAGGATGCCTGGCCCAGACTTAGTGAGTCAACGCCACTCGGTGGCTTTCAAAAACAAACCGAGTCACCTCAGAGGGTCACTGCTCGCCCCAACACTGGAAGAGAAGCAAAATACTGCCCAGAAACCTGCGAAAGCCAAGCAGCTGGAGAGACTTCTGGGAAACTAAACCAGTCTCTATGTTTGTGGGATGCTAAAGGCCTCATGGAAATCAACGGAGCTCTCAATGGAGCTCCACTCCTTGTAGCAACACTCCCTTTAAAACAGCCTCATCCTTTCTAAATTTGCCACTGCTCTCCTGGAGGAGTGAGCCAAATGTCCCTCAAAGGCTCAGTCACCGAGGTCGACAGATCTAGGCCAACTGCACACCCTAAAGCTTCTTCCAGACCTCGTGGCTCACAGGCAGCTGGCTTGTCTCTAGCAGCACTCCGGTATTACAAACCCCAGTGCAACCATCCTAGCACATGCTAGGAAGTAGAAGGGAGATCGTTTCTGCAAGGGAATATATGCATAATACATGTGGTGAATTTTAATATAATTATTAATTTATACACATAAAAATCCCCTAATACAAAATTAATTTTGCCTTAAGCTTTTCTGGATTTTTCTTAAAAGTATTAACTGCATTTTTTATGAGCACCTAGCTGACGAATGTATTAATAGGGCAGCTCCTGTTCTGCACCAAATGTCACCCTCACTTGTCTTCGATACCTAACGCTCATCTTTAACGTCTAACAATGCGTGGGGGTTAATGTTGATTTGCAAAGGCCTGCCTTCAGCTGAAATGCCCAGAGTTAAGCTCATCTCGGCATCAAAGACAGAGCAGACTCAGCACAGGCTGTGTGAGGGGATGTGCCCTGACCTCCCAGCGTCCCTTGGCCGTAGGCTGTCAAGAGAGGAGGGTTGTTAGTTTGGGGTCATGGATAATTCATTCAGTCGCTATCTTTTTGACTAAAAAAAGCCTAAAAGTGTAAAAAATAGTGCCTCTCTTATAACACCAATCTTGCTATTTCCCCACTGCATCGCCTATGGCAGGATGTGGAGGGCAGGACTGAGAGATCTGAGCATGGGATGTCTGTAGTGTGGAACAGCCGTACGCTCAGCAGGGTTTGAGTGTACACTCATTCATACCTTGCTACGTACTGGCTCTACAAGACACCAACACTATTTACTTTGGTATCAGAAGAACAGACATGCAGCTAGAGCACGATGATTTAAAAAATAAAATAAAAGGAGGTTACACTTTATTAAACAGATGGCACGTGCCTGCATGCAGCCATGTAATGAGGCAGCGTGAGTTCGTCTGTGCAAGTTTCTTTTACAGCCTGTAATTCTAAATGTGGTTTAGACCTCATGGTGTGTTTAGTGGGTGTTGGAGAAACACCTGGGCTGCTGGGGTTTTTTTTGAAAACAACAGTATTCATTGATAGTCTTAAAAAAACTAATCTCAGCTTACCTTGTTAGATGCCTACTTAATTCATGAACTTCCATTTCAGTGCTTTTAAATTCATTAAGCTCTTTTCGAATGGCTGCCTGCAAAGGGCAAATAAATGAGAGAGATCAAAATAAGTTTACTTTGTTCTCAAAACAGTATATTCAAAGTGAAGCAGATAGATAGATAACATTACCAGAGAGAGAAAGAAAAACATAAAAAAGACTTTAAAATGTGAAAAGGAACAGAGATAAACATGTTCTAAATCACATAAAGGGAAGAGATAAATGCTTCATTGGAATGGCTCAATTTCAAAACATATCGTAGACAACACAGATACAGAACCCAATTCTGGCTTATTATGTAAACACTTTCATGTAAAAAATCCAAATTAGCATAAGCATGAGAAAAAAAATGTGCACTCTCAAACACTGTGATCTGTTTCAGAGCCAGACTGTGAGTAAACTGGGCCTGGGTCCTGCCGGACTCATATTTGAGATGCCTCCTGCCTTTATGCGGTCCTGAATTTCCTCGGGTGAAGTTACCTACTGTGGCTGAGCTTT